CCAGGCCTCCAGAAATCAAGGGAGCAGACGCTTTGTTCATAATTTCCCAGGCATTAAAAATAAGTCTTAAAGGTGCGTGCAAAGTCGAGCAATTCTGTCTCCTTCTCCAACTTGGCGCCCTCCTTTAAAGGTTGGCCCACAATGCTTTGCTTTCAGTCCTTTCTCATGCGCGTGCGCTCTCCGAGGAGGGCCCCCTGCCTCCGCATGCGCAAGACCATCCCAAACGTTAAGGCGCTTCGCTTCCCGCAAGCGCAGAAGGTTCTCCTTTCGTTCCTCTTAGGGAGGTGCGGAGGCTTTGTTCACGCTCTCCGCATGCGCGGTGATGAGCGCGCCCTAGTGGTCGCCCGGCGTTATTGCAGGCGCCGCGGTTGCCTTGACGTTTGAAGAATCGGCGCATGCGTATGTCTTCAATGTCTGGTGGAATCGCGGGTTCGAGCCCCGTCTTGTCCCCAAAAATACCTTGGGTGCCTGGACGAGGAGCAAAATGTTGGAACAAAGTGGCAATAGAGATTATTGCTGCTATTATTAATCATCACAATATTTATGATTAATAATCTTTAGGACTGTAGTTATTAAACATTATTGTTATTAATAATTATGTCCCTTTGGTTATTTGCAATGCATACTCTTATTTAAAAATTCTTATTCCAAAGAAGCCAAAGGCAGGGTGGAAAAAACCCTGTTGCTACTTCATTATAGAGGGTAACCTCTGTGCCACATAACTACAGTTTGTTGAATTAACCCAGATGGCTGAGTAAATTATTATTATTCCTGTGCAATACACTAGCCACGCTAGCTAGCTTCGTCCAACACCCAAATAAGCCAGGATTGGGCCTCTTGGCTTAGTGCTTTGCCTGGCAATGTGAATGCAGTGGCAAGATATGGGTCTTTCGCCCCTCTCCAAATCAGGAAATTAAAACATAAAGATAATAGAGCTGTGGCCTTCTTCCCCATCTAGCCTACAAACCTGGTTTTTCCTGCTGGTGTTTCATCTGACCAGGTCCTTCTCTGCTTAACTTGTTGAGGTCAACAAAGGGGGTCTTGATGCTGCTATCACTCTGCTCCTGGGGCATGGAGGTCAAACTATGGCTGGATGAGATGATGACAATATATAGCAGTGTTTCTCAACCTCGGCGACTTTAAGATGTGTGGACTTCAACTCCCAGAATTCC